AAAATTCAGTCCAATTGCACTTAAGATCTGATGAACCAATAATGATTTGCCTATTTAATTGCATAACAGTGTCTCCAAACTGTTCATTTAAGTCAGTTACTATGTATGAATATTTTTAGAATTAATGTAAGGCTTCAATTAATGGAATTCAAATAAATCCACAAATATATGATCTCCAAAATTAACGAGATAATGTTAACCTGACAGAAAACTATTAATGTATTCTAGTTAGACATTATATTTGCAAGATAAGATCACGAACCATTTATTTCCTTTGTAAATTCCACACTGTTAAATTAGCTTTTTATTCCTTTTAATTCTTTTAATTCACCTTGTATGCACATCAATTCTTGTAAACCCACTGTGATAGTGAAGGCATCAAGCACAGTTGGATCTCTGTCACTGCGTAGAAGAAGCTCATTTACTAGGGTTAAGGACACTTGTTCAATGCAAGTACTGGTCAGCATATTGGGCATATGGAAAATGCTTCCTGACACAGTAAAAAACTCTGCACACAAGAAAGGCAGGTTTTGACTTCTAATCCATCACAGGAGAGGTTATGGCTGTTTCCGGGTGAGTAATAATTTCCTCCTGGATTAAATTCTTTGCATAAATATATTTACCTAACAATGTTAGAAAGATATCCTCCATTTTAGCAAATTCAGCTACGAAACACACAAAGTTTCAAGATTTTATTTCTCAAGTGGACCGCACAGAACAGCAGTTTGCACACACTACACACTTGCAGAGAACAGAAGGTACCTTTGATGGAACCACCAAATCTTCTCTCAGGACTGTAGCAATGAGGAAGAAGAGGAGAAGGTCCCAAACAACAGTTCTTGAGCCACCAGCAGCCATGTCTATAGACCACAATATAATTGTTCTATGGAAATTTAGACTCTCTATTATACATATCTTACAACTGATCTGTGTCTAAGCCATCTCCCTGCAGATCATCAAGCTTTGGGAAAGAGCTGGATGTGATAACCATTTGGGAATCCTAATCCTGGCGTTCGGACTATATTTCCTCCTCTGATTGCCCTCCAGCTGACAAAAGCAGAATTACAAATAAATGAAAGGTTTACAGACAAAACGAGCAGTATCATATGGTGCCATTACGAGATAAACATCTCTCTGCAGCCTTCATCCAGGATCATATAATTCTCAAACATGGTCACTTGCCATGAAATCCTTCTATAACTCGTGGAACAAATGGTGCATTTTGGAGAGCATGATTTGCTGCTAATGCTAATGGATTAATTGTGGGAATGGGCTTTGTCAGTGTGTACATGAAGCTCATGCAGTTGCCTTGTTAACCGTGGCCAACGTATTTCCACTATGTAAAAGAAAAGAAAAATGGTGGAAGGTAGGGCCAAACTGTACCTGTATTTGGTCACCAAGCGATGGAGGAAGATGGCCATCTGCAGCTTGGCGAATTCAGCGCCCACACAGAATCTCATGCCCCCTCCAAAAGCCATGAAATGCTTGGACCCACCATTCAGTTCTGGCCTCTCCTGCGTGCCAACAAAAAGGTTTTCTTCCTTGGCTTAGAGCCAGACTTGATCCCATGATGAGTTGGCTGACTTAAGAGATGTTCCATGAATTCCATGTGCTTGGGTGCAACAGAGTAGATCTAGCTAAAACCCTACCAACATTGATTATTTGATAGGAAGATCTTGGACATGGCCTCTGTAGCTCTTGTTACATGTAATGCAGAATGAGGTGTGTATATATCTATATATATATATAAACTTTCTTCCAAGAAGAAAACCTTTGTTGCTGATCACTAAGTCACGTTGACATGTTTGTTTACTAAAAGAGCAAGCTAAGCAAATCTGAGGGCCGTATAATCTATGCAATCTTTTAGCACTGTTAGCATGGATATGAATATTGAAA